TTCCGGGTCACGGGCTTCCTGGGCCATCCGCTGGGAGGGTGTCGTAGTCGCTCTCAGGTCATGCCCCCACCCCAGGGGGATGATCGCAGCATAGATCCCGTCCCCGGGTTCCAGGGCAAGGTCCGGGTCGCTTCGTGCCTGTAGCAGCTTGCAGGAGGACGGGCAGCGGGACATGGTGACTTTCTGTCGTGCCCAATCCACCTCCGGGTTGTGGTGCAACAGCCACGAATGTCCTATGATGAGGGACTGTCGCCCGAGGTTTGCAACCGCGAACCGGGCTCGCTCTGTGTGCCGTCCGAACGTCAGGAGGGCCTCCAGTTCCTCAGTTATGGCTCCATTCTCGTTGGGGGTCCCATCGACGTTGCGGACTGGGATGGGCTGAGGGAGCCGGGTGGTCTCAAGGTTGTGCTTCCGGATGAACTCTGGGCTTACGAAGTTCCCAGTGGCTCCTGAGTCCAGGAGCGCTGACACGGATACAGAAGCGAGGGAGGTCAGGGCGGTCAGCTTCACGGTGAGGCTGAGCGACCTGGGGGACTGTTTAGAGAGGACGTAGATAGCGGGTGGGGACACCGCTACTTCAGGTGTTACCCCTGGGGTTCTTTCACTCTCTCATGCTGGAGATGCGCTTTTTCTCCTTTTCTTTGCGATAACTCGGTGAAGCTTTGGCATTGCTGGCTTACGCGCACTGCGGTATTTACACGAGTTATCCTCTACGGGTGCCCGGGACGCATCCCTCACCGGCCGCCTTCCTGAAAATCCTCCTGAGGCCCTGCCTCTGGCTCTTCCCCCTCTTCCTCTGGTTCCTCAGTCAGCTGCCTCTTCAACCCCTCCATCAGTGCTCGAAGGTCTTCCGGGTGGAGGCGTCGGACCCAGTGGACCTTAGGTTGTGGGCAGTCTCGTGCGATATGCCCTGGGGCGTTACAGTTGTAACACAGCCCGTTCCTCCTGTGGTCAGTCCTCAAGCAGTCGAGGTCCATGGGTTGCGGGCCCGTCCCTGTAGGGGGGTGGGCTGCAGGAGTTGGGGGGGGGCTGCGGGTGTGGGACGTGCGTGAGGGGGGTTTGTAGTTGGCGGTGGTCGCGTCAGGGTAAATGGAGGCCTGGGCGGGGGCGCGCGGGGTTGTGTCGCCTGGAAGCGTCACCACTGGTTGTCCAGGAGGGTGGCTTCACGTTTCCACTTGGCCCAGGTGGTAGGCATGGGGTGGAGGCGATATATACTTTCGCAGAGCCGGGCGTTGATTGCTTGCTCGAAACGGTCGACAAGCCCAACGTTGCCCAGCCGCGAGGCGGGTCCTAGTATCTCAAACTCCTGGATGACTTTGTCCACAGAGTCACTCCCCTGTTGGATGCTTGCCAACTTCTGCCAGGCAGTGGCTTCCCGGTTGGGGTCCTGGAACATGGCATCGAGTTCCGTGTTGAACTCGTCCATGGTGAGGGTGGGAGAGTTTGCCGTTAGCAGCGCGATGGTACGCTGGGTCGCCCACGCTCCTGCGGTCCCCCCCTTCATGTAGGACAACACAAAGAGGATCTGAGAGAGGGGGGTGGGGAACTCGGCCGCGCGGACGTGGAAATAGATGCCACATTCGGCCTTGAAACGGTCAAGGTCCTCGCTGGCTCTGGAGAAGGCAGTGGGGGGGGCAACCTTAGGCCCCTTGGGTCTGGGCGCGGGTGGGGGTGCAGGGGCAGGTGTGGGTGCGGGCAAGGGGGCAGGTGCCGGCTGGTTCAAGACCTGGTTTTCGATGATGGCCTGTAGTTCTTGGGACCGGGCCAGCAGGTTGTCGTACTGCTCTTCGGTTACCATGGCAGGGGAGGGAGGGGGGATAGGGGAGACAAGGTTGAAGCCTTCTTCTGCTGTCAGGGACGCGTCCGGGGTAGAGGGGGCCCGGGTGAGACACCCGACACTGGAAGTCTCGCGGGGGGTGGAGCGGGCATGCGTACTGGCGGGCCCGGCTCAGGAGGCAGTCCCTGTGTCATATCCGTACATACCCGACCCCGACCCCGACCCGACTTCCGGACCTCCACCCTCTTCACCTCCGGAGTCATAACCTACCGCTGCCGTTCCGATACTCACCCTCGGTCCTGGCAACACACCTCCTCCTTACCTCCCCGACCCTATCTCCGTCCGCTCCGATACTCACCTTCGGACCTGACTACTCTTCTTTCCGCCACTCCTTCTCCCTTACCTTTCCCCTCTCTCCTCCCTCTGCTACTCCTCCGCCACCCTTCCGCCAAGTTATGACCTTCCACCGTTGTTCCGTACTTCGCACTCGGACACCGCTCGTACCTTACTCCGAGCCTCCGTCATAGTCCCTACCTCGGACTTTGACTCCACCTCGGTCTTAGTCCATTGCATTGGTGACCTCATACTACGTAAACACCATTGCCAATATCCCTCGGACTTTCAACCCCGCCTCCGTAACCTCCGTAAGCTCCGCAACCCCCGAGCTTCACGGATCACCTTCGGCCCTCTCGCCGCTTGTAATGTATTTCTCGCGTTTTCCCCTCATCCCTATTTGGACTACTGCTTCTTTCTATTCTAGCCAGTTAGTCATCATCCCCACTTCCCCTCATCCTCCTGCCCCTCTGGGCCTCGCCCTCCCTACCTCCTTTCGGATGTATCACAGGTCCTGCCTTATGACCTTCGGTACCTCTCCGCTTCTTCTACCCTTTGTTCCCGTTTGGACGTCTTCGTTCCGATTCGGTTACCCTTTGTCCTCCTTGTGCTTTTGCCCCTTCCATTATATATATCGGCGCTTGTACATACTCGTTTTGGTTTAGTCCGAAATCGACCTGAAATGCCCCCAAGAGACTTCCTGCTCACCTACTGTGAAATTAAGGACCAAATGGACAAACAGCAATGGCACAGCGCTCCGCTTGAGTCGCTGAGGCCAAGGTCCCTCCACGCTAAGTCTCCGATTCCACTCCGGAGTCGTCCGTTTCCGCCTGTTCTAACACCCTGGCCACTTAGACTGAAGTGGGAAAGGATGTTATTATTATTAAAAGGGAACACTATGTTGCTTACCTGAAGTGGGAAAGGATGAGAAGAAGGCTACTTCTTCGGTTCCCACTTCAGGTATGTTTATATACATGCGGCTTAGGTCACATGACGGGTGCCACATCATCCTCGCATACAGCCATAGTCACCCGGGTGTCCCTGTGGGGGATCCCGAGGGCGTCCGCTGTGAACGCGCGAGCTGGAGATAGCGGGGGTCGCCCAAGGCGCCCGGGCTGGGCGTGTCGTGAGCGCGCTGCGGGTGGGTCAATGGTACATTGATACAAGGAAAAGTCGTCCGTGTAGAATAAGGAGAAAATAAAGAGAAGGTGAAATAAGTAAAGAGGGAGTGAATGGAGAAAGAAGGAAAGAAAGGAGAGGGGGGAGGAGGTAGGGGAAGGCCGGGTGGCGGGGTACCGGGTGAAGTGGGGCCGGGTGGGGCCGGGTCAGGCAGGTGTGCCCTGACAGGTCTATATGCAGCTCCCACATAGTTACCGATTTGTCCGAGGTTGGCCTTCTTTTTTCTTCAGTGTTCTCATTGTATTCCTTTCCATTGGGGGCATATCCTCGGGGGATTACTCTGACACTGTCTACGATTTCCTTTATTTGGTCACTTGTCATGCTTGCCTCTTCTAGGAATGTTCGGAAAGGGCTTGGTGATTTGGAGATAGTTTGCTTGACGGCATCTTTTATATTGTTCATGTCCTTCAACCTGTTGCCCATTCCCACAATTGAAATCATGAAGGAAGAGGGTTTGAATCTAGTGCCAATAGCGATAAACCCAAACATCTTGCATATCCATAAGTGTTCGCATATGAGGAGGTCAGCAAATTGGGGGTTCAGGCCATTGTCAGGGACCGACCCGGGGTCGAGAGCGCCCGGGTGTATCGCCCGAGGCTGAGGGTCCGGTAGGTATGACGCGGGCGTGCGTAACAACGGGCCCGAAGCAGACAAGGGTCCCTGGCCACTGAGACTAAAGTGGGAAATGTGTTATTGTTATTATCAGGGGAAGTGTAAGCTACTTGCCTAAAGTGGGAAATGTGAGAAGAAGGTTGCTTCTCAGTTCCCACTTAGGCTGTGTTTATATACATGTGGTTGAAGGCCACGTGGGAAGCGCCACGTCATCCAAGCACACAGCCACCTCCATCCGGGTACCTCCGTAAGAGGTCCTAGGAGCTTCCGGTATGCGGGGGGTCGTCCGGTGTGTCCGGGTTCGGGCGCGTTACACTGCAGCCGGGTCAATGGTACATTGATACAAAGGAAGTCATCCGTGTGATAAGAAAGGAATAAAGAGGAGAGAGAATAGAAAAGAAGGGGAAGAAGAAAGGGAAGGGAAAAGAGGGGGAGGTCGGGTGTCAGGGCACACCTGCCTGACCCGGGTCCACCCGGACCCACCCAGCCACACCACACCCGCTCCCCACTGTCCAACCCTCTCCCTCCTCCTTCTGTCTCTCCTCCCCTTTCCTTTCTCTCTTTCTTCCCCTTTCTTTATCCCATTCCTCTCATCTTCCTTTTCTTGTTTATTTCCTTCTATCTACACAGACCACCTTCCTTTGTATCAATGTACTATTGACCCGTCCGGCCCACACACCCCGGACGGCTCCCCACTGTGCCCAGCACGCGCGCATGCAGCGGACGCTCTCGGGATCCCCCGCGGGGATACCCGGATGCCTGCGGCTGCCTCCGAGGGTGACGTGGCACTCGTCATGTGACTCAAGCCGCATGTACATAAATGTACCTGAAGTGGGAACCGAAGAAGTAACCTTCTTCTCACATTCTCCACTTCAGGTAAGTAGTATAGTTTTCCCTTTTAATAACAATAACACATTCTCCACTTCAGTCTAAGTGGCCAGGGACTGCTGTCCCTCCCCGGACCCGCCAGCACGCACGCCCGGTTTGCACCCTGTGAGGGCCCTTCTGCCGGGCGATACATCCGGACCCCCTCTACCCCAGACGCGTCCCTGACATCGGGAGGAGCGGATGGTGGGGCACCGGGTTAGGTGGGGACGGGTCAGGTGGGTGTGCCCTGACAGCCATCAATTAAGAAGCCCCACGGTTTAGCATATTGGGGGGTTCTGCCATGTCTGAGATCAATGGGGACAGGGGGGATAATGCTTACTTCCCCAACTTGATGTGGGAATGCCCTTTTGAGGAAGGCTTCCATGTTGGTCTGGAAGTTACTGGTGTCTTCTTCGCTGTGGGCAGCATCTAGGGGTAGGACTAGGATGGCGCCTTCCTTTTTTAGCCAGGCTTTGGCATGGTTGGGGTTCGCTCCTTCAAGGAGGTGACCTGGGCGGAGGCCATGCACATAAAAGTTGGCTAGGCCAGGGCCTAGGGGTAGCCAGTTGAGGTCGTCTCTTCCATCATCGGGTTTTTCAGCAGATACCGGCATGAAGGTCAGGTGGTCAGTGGCAATGGGAGATCCATCCCCATCCATGGCTGGGCTCCGGGATGGAGGGAATTCGGTAGGGTTTACATTTTTTAGGAAGGCCACCGAGCCTCCAGACTCAAAGTCAAAGACGTCAGGAGTGGGTGCAAAGGAGGGTTTGAGAATTTGGGGGGTAGAGAGGGGGGGCCTCATCGCTTTTGGGGGGAGGAAGCAGGGGGGGGCCTTTAAAGGGCCTTGGAGTCTTGTGGCAGTGGGTGATCTCGCGTGTTTCCTCATTTCATTTTCGGTTGCTGGAGTGGGGTCATGGTTTTTACTGCTTCCGCGGTAGTTCTTCCCAAAATGGGGGCTGGGTTGAGAGGTGTCTGTATTGTCGGAGTCAGAGTCATGGGTGTTCTCATCATCCCGGTCAGCTATAGTGATGGCGAAGTTTTGCGGCACATTGGTTATGGCTGCTGCCATTTGTTCATCCTCGGGTGTCAGCAGGGATTGGAAGGTTGTATGGAGGGGTACGGATGACTGTTCAGACTGGGGCCTTGTCAGAGGTTATGGGGCAAATAGGGGGGTAATTACCTCCATGGATTAGTGGAGTACTTGTTGGGGGCTGAGGGAACTGACACAGTTCCGGTGGAGATACCCGTATTTATTTCCAACTACTAGAAAGCATCGGCATTTGGGACGATGTTGTGGGTGCGATTGGGATTCAAAATTTGGGGGGGAGGAGCGGGGTCTGCCCAGGGGTCGTCTATTTGGTTGGCAGTTAGGGGGGTTTGGGTTTTCCAGGATCCAAGTGTGGGCAATTTTGGCGTGAGGGGGTGGGTCAATTTGGGGCACAAGTTCAGAGAGTTACAGGCAGGCCAGGGGGCATAGTGGTGTTCATTAATTCTATTGGGGGGAAGTTGTTTTTGCGAGATATTAGGATGTAATGGGTTTCATGCCCAGATGTTGTGGCCATGCTAGGGTAGAGATTTGGCAGTGGCGTTTCTGTCTTGAGACAGTGGACAGATTGGCCGTGCAATTAGGAGAGACATGGGTAATGCTTATTTGGTTATGGTATGGATTAGTTTACACAGGTTGTACAGGTTTTCGCAGTGGGATGGCAGGTGGTAATGGTTTTTACGATGAACTATTTGCACTTAGGTTGCTGGTCAGGGTTTTTTGTCAGTGTGTTGCACATTGTCGTGACCGCCCTTAAGATCTCATCCACTGTGGCAGAAGGGGATGTCTCTTGGCTCGGCTCCCACAGAGAAGCTACAACCAGGGCTGCAACCTCCACATTTACTTGGGGAAGCTAGGGCAGTGATAGAGCTTAGACTTGGGTTTGAGAGCTGCAAAAGATTCAAATATAACGCGAGTTTTGGCCCTGCATGACCAGGACGATTTTGGGGCCTGGCATTTCTTGGGGTATTGCAGTTGAGACATGAAAGTCGTGCAGTTATAATGTGACAGGGTGAATGGGGGGTGAGGGGGAGCGCTTCCGGCAGGGCCATCTTGGGCTGATAGTGGCCAGGGACTGTCTGAGCAGCTGTCAGGTGACTGGTGGGCACAGGCAGGCATCAGTTATGTTTGGTGGATGTGGTTTCATGGGCACTGCACTGTGGTTTGGGCTGAGGTGGGCGGATGGTAAGGTTTCATGGGGCTTTAATTTAATTTGATTTTTTTTTTTTTTTTTTGGGGGGGGGTTCCGGGCTTGGTTGTCTGCTTGGGCTGCACCCTCGTCAGGGGGAACCAAAGGAGATGACTCCGCAAGTCTATAGTGGGACACCTAGTCTACAGTGTGTAGGCTGTGTGGATGTTCCTGTGAACTGTCCTAGTTCTTGCAGAACTACCCATGAACCCAATTGCCAAAGCCGCACTCGGCATTTTATAAGGTGGCAATTGGGCACTCTTGGTCGATGGCCCTGGGCTCGGGGTCAGTGCGATGCCTGCCCTGGTGCCACCTGAGCTTTTTCCCCCTGGTCAACATTGCTGGCCTCTCTTTTATTTATTTATCTATATATATATATATATATTTTTTTTTTTTTTTGTTCATGTACTGGCTGTATCTTTTGCCTTTTGCCTTTTGCTCTTTACCTTCCTAGTTTAACGACTTTGCAGTCACTGTACATTATTTATAGCAAGGGAATAAAGATGGTCGGCCTCAAGGAACATCACTCCTTACAGCTTGCTAGATGGTCGGATGGCCTTTTCTCTTTTGTTCGCTTGTGGACTATTGTTCCTCCTTTGCCACTTGTTATTTCTTGTTTGCCTTTTGTTGACCAAGTTTGCCAATATTAACCATTTGTCTATTTCTTCATTCATTAATATCGCACTTGATCTGCCACTCCTTCCGGGCCAGTCCTATTTAGTTACTTGTGCTTATAACATGTGTAGGTTACACCGGATGTACCTCAGTTCATATATCGACTTGGATTTCCCCCCTAGTCTCTTCTCTTCATCGTAAGGCTTCTGTCTGAAATTGGGACACCAACATAAGAACGAAGCACAGTGCTCCACCCAAGTCACTGAAGCTGAAGTCCCACCCCTCCGACCTTACAAGCCCGGATGACTTTGCATGCCCTTGCGGATCATCCAGATACGCGTTCAACATGTTTGAAAGGTTGCTTACTTATTTGGGGATGGTAACGTTCCGTTCCCCTGTTTGCCTCAGGCCTCAGTTAGTCCATCTAAATATAAGCTTAAATGTGCTGTATATTCAATGGGGTAGAGGTAAAAGGCTACCAGGCCTTTACAACTACTCCAAGGTATATATATGTAATTTACATATCTCGGCACAAATAAATAAAGAAAGAACAGCATCACTATAATCGGAATTATAGTGAAGTAAGGTTAATCCCCTACAACATTCCTGTAAGCATGTGGTTATAAGCGCCTCACACTCCCGGTCCATCACACAAGTACGCTTTAATGAGCTGTATTGTTGACGGGGGAGTAAAGGGTGAGGGGCCTTTCCTCCTACCTGCACATCTTATATACATGTATCTACATGATGTAATGCAGCTTTATATTATACATGTTATCTATGTTACTGAAGTGCGACTGCAGTCGCGCTTGATGTGAAGTATGCAAAGGACAGACAATGTGTGGGTACACATTGTAAGTCCTTACAGTTCCTGACAGGTACTGTACTCACACAACCAACTACCAGTCATGCACCTCCTGGTCCGGTCGAAATTCAGGGCCTGTCACACATCACAGGCAGTCGGTGTTGGAGGAACCGTGTGCTATGAGGGTACTCCAACGGAGCTAACCTGAACAGCCACATTCCTGCGTTAGCGTGGGAACATTCTGGGAGAGCAACTTGCCCAGAATCCACCATGTGACTACTTAGTCACAAGACCTCTTTTATATTATTTCGGACTAACCCGTGCCAGGCCACGGATATATTCATTCATTTGAATTCATTTCCTTTTCCCTCAGTTCTTCACGCATATTAGCTGAGACTGAGCTTCACGCTTATAGTCCAGCTCCGAGATCAAGTGTCGCTCATCAACAGTCGGCAGTTGAGGTGTCCAGCTGTCATGCCAGTTCTGCTGAGACAAGGTGGCTATGCAAAGTAATTTAAAATTTCCATTTCAGGAATGGATTTACATTCAAAATTTTCCAAATTTCCCCTGCCGGTTGGGTGTCACGCGTCACAACGAGTTGCCAGTTGGCAGTTTATATCATGTGACTAGTCACGTGCCTCGCTCGGCCGGTAAGTTGGTCGTGTGAGTACAGTATTTACTAAGGGATCTCCGAGTTCTAAACAGCGCGCTCCTTCCAAGTAATTTCCCTGGGACTTCAGGTATTCTACTAGTATATTCCACCGTAAGATACTGCGATTTTCACCTGGTGTCCCCAATATTTTTTTTACCGTGATTTATTTCCCACTGTGGTCATCTTTCGGGGCTATCGCTGTACTCCAGATTAGAAGAAAATTATATTCCTTGCCATTAAATTTTATGGTTACACAATATTTACAAAATACAAATACATGAAACTCGACTCGTCAGGGAGGACGGGCACCATTGGCAGTGGGAGACACACCAAAAGTTGTGGGAATCGCGCCAATGGTCGTGAGAGTGGGAGGGTTAGCGCTGCTTGTGCTTTCATTAAGGGGAGTGCAAGTTGCTTTTGGACACACAGGTGAATGCTAGGTCATCTCATCGAAGAAGTGAAATTTACCAAAGAAGTTACCCCACGATTCGGTGTCTAGGTTGACGGCCATCGTTATGTTCTGCTGGCGCACATCGAGATTGGTGATCGCATCCATATTAACGGCCCCTAAACGGAATGAACAAGACATCAATAAATCTCTGTTGGTTAGTCAATAGCAGCCTACGAACATTCGAAATGCTCCTGGATTAGATCTGGGTAATAGAACCAGAGCCAACCATGCATTGTGATGGGGATGGTGTAACCGCCCTGATAACTGCAGGTCCGAACCTGGGCATACATTGTGACATTGACCGGGCCGGTGCATTGGATAGCATTTGTCAGTGTGGAGCGAGTATCGTACCCGACCTCAACACTGTCACCCTTAGAGTTGGTGTTAGTCGTAGTCCAACTGGCTGATGGATTGAGATTAGATTTTGGAGGCAAACACGGCAAATTCAGAATATCCTACTTTGCTGTTCGAAGCCAGTCTTGAGCATGTCGGGGCCAGCCTCAAGTTTAACCGTGAACGAGGTTCCGCTAGCCATGGCAGTACTAGCTAGAAACAGGAGTATGAATAGTGGTATCGGTAGATGCTGGCATATTTCGACTCACACGTAACTGTGGACGTGGTCTGAGAGAGGGTCCCCTGAGAGAGACTCAGTTGCGCATAATCGATGCCGCGCCACTAGGATATCCGTAAGCCGAGAGAAAATTGCTATAATAAAAATATGGAGGTAGAAAGACCCACGATGGTTCCATTGTCACTTGCGATTGAAAGCGTACACGAAGGCTCTGCGTCCCATATTACTGTATAGTTCATCGAAAACGGATAACACGCATATGCCGTGCCCCAAGGGTACTGTGTCGAGTTCATCATCAGCGGTTTTTATGATAAAGATTCACGTACATACACCTTCAGGATTCACCAAAACTTGATCCCAACCCGGACCCCAAGTGTAAATCGCATACTCCTAGCGTCAATCATTCGATGTGGCTCTCGGTTGGGTCTGCAAATACATACCTTGGCCTTCTGAAGGAGAAGATCCATCTGGTTCATCTGGTCCTCATTCATTAAGTGGCACAAACTCTGCGAAAAGTCCCGACCGGTGCGGAGCGAGTCACCTCTTGTAGAGTAGTGCAATGCTCTAGCCTCTTCCCCATTCATGTGAGGTGGGCCGCCACGCCAACTCCGGGAGGTAGGGAAAGCCTGAGTTGAAAGAATGAAAGCCAAGGCGATGGAATAGAGCACAGAAATCGCTGCCATTAATAAAGGACCAGAAGCTGAAGGAGACGAGCAAGACTGGGATGCGTTTTCTGAGATCCTTGGCTCTATTTGAGGTAGGCCACGTTCATATCTTGCTCACTTCCGGGGAAAATAATATGCAGTCGCCACCTGCATGGACTCTTATCGGCCTGTTCGGGCGCAAAATATACAACGGATGCAAGGAATATCTATTCTGCAACGTTTTACGCCGAGACAGTCTTGTGTTACTAGTTGGTGAGCCAATGGGCACCAGGTAAGATATGATAATTGATGGATGGAATACCTAGCAGCCTTATTGGGGGGATGGCGCAAGTCACATAGCAGATGGTTCCTTTGCTGGAACACGGCGACCTGCCGAAGTGCTCGCCCGGCCCTGTAGAGCACGAATCCCAGGAAACAAAAATCACAACCTGAGGCCCTGAGCAGGTGTAAGAGTTAGAATGCGGTCGATGATAGCAGTCGGTACTGATGGCACGATGCGTCCCTTTGCATTGCAGAGGGACGCATCGTGTCAGGCATTCGTTGGTCCGTTCAGGGCGAAACAGAAAATAAGAGGTAGCAACGAATGAATCCATGACCAAATTGATTCGGCCAACTCCGCTACATTACCGCTAAAGGGCTCACATGTAGCGTTAATTACCCCACAATATTGACCCATTTCTTACTTAAGTAATCTACCGCGTGGTTTGTTGAAAGACGAGCTTTTGCTGGTCTGTGGTCGGATTCCGTGCCTCACATCATTCTCTTTCGTGTACATAAGTAAGGAAAATCATGACAGCATTTCCTTTCGATCCTCGTCGTTAATTCTTTTCTTCTCGGGTGGTATCTGCGTTGAAACATGACAATGCCACAAATTCTAACTTCACATCCACCGCCCATCCTCCTCGATCCCCTCACTCACTGGTACGATCTTTCGTTTATATTTCACCCTGAACTGGAGGAATGACTTTTCAAATCATGCCGACTGCCGTAGCCCCAGCGGAGTTGGTCTATCAATATTCCTGTAAATTGATCACCAGGTGAACCCCGCCCATCAAAAGGTCTCCTCCCATGTCTCATAACTGACTTGTATGATAAAACCACTTGTATTGCATGAGTAACATTATCGCTTCCGCCAATCAACGCCGTCGTGAATAGCCGACGCTATGTAACAGTACTGTAACTAGGGCTACACGAAAATCAGCGACAATTATGTAATGGGAAAGCAAAACTCATCAATGGCCAGTGGTCACGGCCTCTATCTACGTTTTGCTACTCACAAGGCTATAGCGTAAAGTAATGCGGTATACAAATGGGCGTAAGAAGATTGTCATTAACGAAACGATACAAATATACGTGACAGCCAACTTTGAAAGAAATAAAGGGCGCCAAGAAAGCAGTCCCGTATCGTTACAAATAGCGTAAATGTGGTGGGGGCGCGAAAGACAAATGATTGGAAGAAGGTCATTAAACATTATATGAAAGGCGTTTGCGGATCGTGAGTGAAATTACTTTTTGTGTGCCAGCGAAAGGAAAGACTCGAGGGGGGCCTAGTTAAAACAAAAAGGTACTTAAAAAAATAACACATACAGAACCCAGTCCAAAGCCAGTACTAAATAACAGCAGAAAAGTCATTAAGACATACGTTTAAGGGTGAAGAAAAACCGAAAGCAAATTAATATACGAACCCCGTCGAGGGTAGTTGCTGGGGAAAACAGGCGTGGTGACACTGCTATCAGACTCGTACTCATCCGCAGAGTAGACAGACGATGGGTGATAAACAGTGTTATCTGAGGCACTTGGTGCCACTGACATTCCATGGTGATAAAGCTGCATTTTCGGCGGTATAGCACCGGAGCCCGATCGTGCACGTGTGGTAGACATCGTAGGGGAAGAAGTTATAGGTCGATTTCGGGAATAGGTCGATGGTGGCGACACCGCATAGGAAGATGCGATGGTAGCAGATCTTGAACGACCGTGGATATGACCATGACCATATCTCGGGGGAGAAGGGGAGGACGACGATCCGCTCTTGACCTTGAACATCCTTGAGAATTTCTTCGTCCCTTCGTTTCTCCATTCATCATATTCTGCGTCTTCATCATCATCCCCCATCTCATGGGTACTCATACTGGGGGCACCATACATGTCAAAGGTCGGCGCTCGAGGAGTGGAAGGTTCTTCCTCATCCCATTGCGACTCCTCCCAACCAGCCACATCCTGAATGCTCGCATGAGGACTAAGGCCCCAACGGCGATACTGACTGCGCGCCTCACTGACCGTAGCTAGCGTGGCAACATCCTCGTCCCGTTCACTGGGTGAAGACTCACTTTCGGCTTCCTCAATTGCCGGTGGCTTCTTGAAAAGCGAGATGACTGACTTAGCCTTATTCTTAATTTTCACCAGAGAAAGCGAGGCATTGGAACCCATAAAGGCGTCGGGATCAACCCCGAGTGCAGGCTGGATATGAGGATACTCATGGAAGATCTGATGCTGAGTAGCGTGTGGCGAGGAGATGGGGAAGGGATAGATGGGTAGTGAGGGGAATCAGGAAGTGCAAACGCAGATGCCCGCATAAACGAAGTGTCCTTCGGTGGCAGTGGAGGAGGAGAAACTGAAGGTGGTCGAGTAGGTGGAGCAGACTCGATATAAGAAGGAACTGAAGGCGGGCGAGTCGGGGGCTCGGAATCGGTGGATAAGGCGAGAGTCAGGGGTGTAGGGCTTTCCACTGGCACAGGTGAAATGGAAGCTGCTGGGGCGGGCGGTATGACTTCCGGGGCTCGACAGTAAGTGGAGGGACAGCCGTCGGCAGGGGAGGTACCGGATGCGGACGTGAGCCATGACCAACAGGTACGAGGGCCAACGCATGAGTGAAGTAGGCTTGGTGGTCAGGAGGAGCAGGCATGAATTGAAGTGGCCCAGAGGTAGGAGCCACGGAATAAGCGTATCGCGCACGATTCTGAGGGCGTGGCGGCTGTGACGGTTGTTGTTCTTGCCACTCCTGCTGCTGGGCACTTGCTCCCCGTTGCGCGTATGCAGCTGAAGGCTGAGCATGCATGAACTGAGTCGGCAACATCATCTTCATGTCATAAGGTTGCTGCGCCATGCGTTGCGGTGATGCAGGGGCCGGTTGTTGTCGGAAATGATGTGGGTAGGCTAAGGCTTGTTGCTGAGTGAACGAGGTAGGGAATAGGAACCATGGGTAATGTGCGGTCTGCCGGGCCTGAGCCTGCTGCTGCTGAACAACATTAGGGGGAGGACTTGGGGACGAGGGCGGACTGACGGTTCCATTGGGGTGACGTTTCGCAGCGGATGACTTCGGCGGGGCCTGAGCCTGAGCCTGAGGCACCTGAGGCTGAGGGGAAGATGGTCTATTATTGGCGCCATTACCATGTGGAAGTGGCGGAGGCGGCATTATCAAGGGTGCCACTTTTCTGCCTTTGGCCGTGATTGTTTCGGTCAGTTGCTGGCTGGCTACTGGGGATGAGCGCATCCAGGAACGGTTAACAACTGGGGTTTTCAGACTTTTAGGAACTTCAGCGGGAGCGGCCTGGAGAGTTTTAGGCGGGCTGGGAGATGGGGAGGGCGGGTATAGTTTAGAAATTGGCAGGGGCGCTTGGGTCGGTGAATGGGGATAACGAGGGTTAAGAACGCTGAGAGATTGGTTCTGGGGGTGGGCTGGGGGATGGGACGGGTAAGGCTCATAATTGCGTGGTGGTGATGGCGAAGGTGTTAAAGGGCTATCGTACCGCTCGTCAGAGTCGGATTGATTTCGGTCGACAACTTCGTAATCTTCGTCAACGTCATCTTCGAGGTCATATTCACTTGCAAGCAATTCCTTCGGTATCGTGGAACTGAGTGCCTATTTGTCGTCGATCGTCAGCAGCCGCATCCCAAAAAAGAATCAGGAAGCATCACGTACAACATCAGTATAGTCAAGCCCGATCTGTTTCATCACACGGTGACACGCTTTGCACGCCGGCAGTACAGCTTCGCACAACGCCGAGTAGTGTATTTCTTCACGTTTGAATTGACGTAAAAGCTCATGGAAGTTTTTGAAGTTGAACGCCAGAGCCGAAACAGGACGACGTTGATTGATGGCGCTATTCAATAAAAAACCGGTGAGTAAAGAAACAGTCTCCATGTTTCGAGGAAGATAGGCAGGAGATAGATGAAAGCCGTGATGGTGATTGGGAAAATGAAAACCAAGTGGAGACCGTTGCTCACAAGAATGTAGGTATCATCGCACTGCAACGACAGTGAGGGAAAGCTGCTTCGATCGATCGTTCTTCGAATGAACGCACAGTCATTGGCGTCCGAGGGCTCATTGGTTTCATTGTGAGTGGCCATTCTCGCCATGCCCCACCAGTCGTGGCATCGAGCAATTCATCGATTTTCTGCGCACGGAAAACAGACACACTGCCTTTCGGAGATGGGCCTGCGGTGTTGCCATCACGTGCAGGATGAGCGCTTGTTGCTTGGGCAGCTTTGATGACTTCGTCAACTAGAATGAGTGGTCGCTTACGAGCCGGAAATCGTTGCTCGTTGGCGGTCTGCCAGATAATATGGACGGTCTTGGGACGATCTTCTCTACTTGCGACGCGGCAGAAGTGAACAAAAATGGCTGCAATCGAAAGCCAGTCATCTTCTGGGTGTGGAGGGGTGACCATTGAGAGGACGAATGCTGTGAGAAGCATGACAGACAAGAATGATTGAGCCAGAATGTACCACTTTACAATTAAAAGCACCCTACCTATTGCGCTGCATACGTCGGTGACTGGTATGTAGTTTATCGGAAGTGGCCCGACTGGGGCCCAAATAGAATCGACATTCGCGAGTCGGTCAGCAAGAATGACTTGCTTCTTAATATCTTTCGGTCGGTTTCTGGGCGTAAGTCAGTAAGACGCGCTCCTGAGCAAGACTGATTCGCACTCAAAAAATGGCTGCAGGATCCCTTGCCATATTTCCTCTAGTATCTCGGCACAGTGGGAAGGCGGCCACTCCAAGCACCGAAAGCGAAGAAACTCAGCAACCTAGACGAGAGATAACGCGGGCGGCACGTTAGTATCCAATGTGTTTCACCGATGAAACGACTTGCCTGTGGGGCTCTCCATTCAAGAGCGTCTTTATCGAGATCTTTCTGGTACCTATTAGACGACATGGCGGCAGTGATAACGAGAGGAATGATGCAAGTTTGAGGACATATAAGGTGGAAAGGGAGTTTGATGAAGTTTGTTGACGAAAGGAGACGAGTGGCAACTGGAGTAAAGGAAGCAGGTGTTTGTTTCCTGGCAACCCTAAGAAGGAAATCCAAATCCCGGAACACGATCTTAGAAGCTGCTGGCGGCCCCAGGAATACTAATTTGTCTTCGCGCGCGGCTTCACAGAACTTGTTAACGCTCGGCAAAGAGTAGTTGACGCTGTGTCCGGAAGCAAAAAATTAACCCCAGTCGTCGAACGTGGCAAGGTCACGACCCCCTATTCACAACCCCCAACAACGGAGGGTTGGGCAACACATCAGGGAACTAAGGAACTAAGGGGGGACAAGTGATTCAACTTTCCTTTTTGGCTTGCCGTGAGCTTATGTATTGCCTTATTCACTTGTCTGTGACCGTGACAAATGACACAGCCTAGAACGAACAGTACTTTCACCGCCCTTCGGTCAATTTGCCACTGATTCCGTTGATCACCACGACTGGGATTCTCTCCAAGGCCCATCATTTGTTTATGTTATCCAAGTCGTTTCTTCCCCGTACCTCCTGAAATAGACGTTTGGTCGGTCTTTAACCACCCGCGGCTTGTATCCCCGTCCTCGGGGAGTCCTTCCGCAGGTCGTAACGGCATGATCTTCTAATGACGATTCTGGATCCCCTCGCGGCTGATTGGTGATATGATTGATACGTTACTGGAGGATAACGTTGATCTCAATTCCTACTATGACATACTCCGAGAATCGCCTCATCGATATAGATGTTATGTAGGGAACATCTAACCAAACATAGCAACTTGACATATCTTTTGGTTATCCCCTGATTACGATCGATTACAGCACAAGCTCTCGTCGTTATCTCTACTGTCGCTGGTCCCTCTCTCCCTCTCCACGTTATTCTGCGCAAATCAGCACATCGAACCAGCCAAATTTTTATTCGACGGCGCCGCTTGCGCTATATATGACATCAACCCTCTTGAACTACAATCCCACCATCATAACCATCTTCTTTCGGCGCCGCCGCCAGCTACCGGTCCTGTTTATTTGACCCGCCGTATGAATAGCCAAATAATTTTCTCCACGGGAATATCAAAGCGGAAAGCTGGTGACAATCATGTTGAGAGAAATTTACGTTCACAATTCTCAGCGATTTTCATTAGACATAATATCTAGAGTCTGCTTATCCGCTTCGAAACTTACTGAGTCCCTGAGCGTTTCCACGATGTATTCGTAGTGCCACACGCTTGCACGGTTTGTCCTCCTGTCTCACCCTTCCGATGCGACCGGGCAACCATGGTTCTCTGGAGCTACGCGAGGCTTCCGCAAGCGGCCTCAGCTATTGCACCATTGTGTATTGTTGTTCCTCAGGTGGCTATCTCTCAAACCATATGGGGCATGAAAATGCCATCAGTTGCTCAATATCGCTGGGAGGCTCTTGTGCCCGGCTGTCTCGAACGCCAGTCAAGCGCCTTTTCGTGTTCCACAAAGTTTGGAAATGGCCTTTGTACGATAAGATCTCAAATCCCCTAATGCCTCCTCACAAGCATGGGAGACAACAAGACCGGGCGATCTTTGGCATCCCAGAATAGAACTGATCTCCCTCCCTCCAGCCAACATTTTGAATGAACATGTTGTACATTGTCAAAGGCGAAACACAAGGTCAGACAACAACCGTTCCCCTAGGACATTGATCCCACGCTCACAAAGGACCTCGGGCTCTAGACTTCCGAGGCGTCAGCATCTTCCATCACAAAATAGATTCCGCCTCGAGGACGATCCGAAAACCACCTGGCGATCCCTGAAACCACGCGTCGTAACAGAGCGACCTTATTCGGACGCACAGACATTTAATCAACCAGGCGCTTCTCCACAGCCGCGATTCCCTTTTTGCAACGTGTCAAACGGGGACCCTTTTTATATGTTGTATTATCAAACGATGTTCTAGAGCTGGGTCATGTATTGGGCCAAATATGCTCGCAGAGAACCCTTGAGGGATCTGAGATTTATCATTGCGATCATCGTTCCGCGTTCGTGTGTAAGTGCTGTATTTTTGCCATTGTCCGATTCATAAACGGAACGTTATCCGAGCATGCATCAACAAATCGCTTTTCAGCAGCTGCTGCCAACTACTATTAACATGTGGAAGTAAAACGAACGGGATCGCCCGAAGAGCACTCCTTACTCCTTGGGTCAGCCTTGATATTCAAGTTGGTGAAGCGACTCCAACTTGAATATCAAAGCCAATGCAGCTTCGTCTCAAACACGGAATCTCATTTAGTCCAGACTATCTACTGTTGGTCTCTTGACCTAAACCCTACCTACATCTTGGGGTGTCTCGTGGCTTTCGACCCTCAACAGGCCCCAAGGCAATCAAACGTATCACAGGACTTTCCAATGTATGGAAACACCACAATTAGGGGTTGAATTGGGCGGAATAGGTGGCCTGCGTGGGCCGCTCGAGGCTCCTCATAAGCCCCTACTCGGCAGTCGAAATTTCAAGGGGATGACAATATCAACGTCCACAGCTGTCTCCACGTCTTAGTGAGCATATCAACATTGGTATTTGGATGCTGCTCCAAGGCATTTCATCACTCATGCCCGGATTCAGCCAAGTCAGCCGCCTCTTCTGCCGGCCACGCATTACTCGCTTCTCCAATGAACCGGAAGCGAGACGCCGCCAGTGGACAGCATGTACACCCCTTTCCCCTCTTTCCCACCACTTTTTCGCCTCCCAAGACACATTCGGAAAGTTGCATTGAAGATGAAGCATTTCCAGCATTTTCAGAATCACGAACGGCGTCCGAGCTCGGATCTTATATGGGCTCAGGTTTGGCTTTCTTGCCAATATAGAAGGTGCTGGGAATGCTGTTTGACGTGCTATTCAGTATAAGATACACTTATTTCCTTGCCGGTGTGTTTAGCAAAATATTTGCTCTCGCCTTGTTCTCGGATGGCCAAACCGGAGAAGATAACACCCAATTTCCTGTTACCAAGGATGATCAGTGGATTTGGCCTGCCACCTTTCGATTTTGGTCCATGGGCGGAATAAGGAAATGGCAGAGAGGGGCTTTCCAAACACATTAAACTTTGCAAACATTTCCAGTTTGTATGACTCAGTTAGATCGGATCCCGGTCCTGGCAACAGAACCCAATCTCGAATTTCTCCACTTCCTTTCCTCGTGGGATGTAGATGTTTGCTATGTTTGGATGCGGGACCAACCAGGAACCACGGAAGTTGGCGCAACCCAGCTCGTACATTGACTCCTCGATTGCTCGGACCGTACCACCATTTTCCGCCCAGAAATTGCGTCCAGAGCTATTCATTGTTTCACTTAGGCCCTATCAAAATTTACTGATCTTCCGCTGTGCGTGATATCCACTCGGATCTCAAAATGTCCACATCATTGTACAGCCTACTGGAGCATAATGATACAGATCAATGAGGTCCGGGGCCCGCAGTGATTCGCGGATCCAGCGATCGGGCCTCTTTCTTTCTCTCACGACAGATGACGATGACGTTGCGCCCCCCATGCAAAGCCTCAAATGAACTGGCTTGCATTGACCGCTGTCAAGCCGACCCACAATCCAGCGAGTGATCGGACTCTGAGCGATATCTGACGGACCTGCCTTGCAAGTGACCAGGATCCGGTTGAACGATTCATTCTTCAGATGAGAGCGTCATTGGAGAAGGATGATCTGGGCCTCGATTTCTCGATCACTGCCACTAAAATAATATGTATCTCATCTCTTGCCAGGAACAGAGGCGCATCACGTGCTGACGTCAGCAACTGCTGACAGGTGGTACGAAGTCATAGAGGCTGGAGTCCAGCCCAAACAGCACCAGCATCTACGACCAGACCGGAACCCCTAGGGGATCTCTCATCCGGTGCAGCTCACCAGAGTCGCCCGACAAAGGCAGGAGTAGAGATGGATGGAATTGATGATTCTATGTAGCACTCAGCGGGGATACTCGACGAAAGGGGGAAATCGGATGATATATGTATAACATTGCAACCGCGCGGATATCAGACAAAAACTATAAGGAATAATGTGCCGCTACATGTCACCGTGGAACACTGTAGCGTTGCGTAGAAATGAGACAAGTAGCATATGGGGCGAAAGGACATATAAAAGGTATGCATAAACATAGATACGCGACCGGCGCGTCGTCATGCACGGCTTGCTCAACATGATGGAAACTACATTTAATTCTCCAGTTCTTTACTTCCGCTGTCATCACCATGCACGTGTACGTGCCCTGGGCTCCTTGCGCTCAGGTCCCCAGCCTACCACTTATTCGTTAGTTATTCCGAATTGAAGACAATGATAACGACTGCGGTTGTCCAACCCACCCCTTTTTAACGGGAGGCCGGCGCGTGTCCATCTGAATTCGATTACCGCGTAATTCCCTCCAAAGCAATGCCGGAGCAGCTCCCCGAGTGTTCAAGTTTTCGATTTCTGTTGCAAATGATTATCCCTCATCCATTCACTATGATGTAATCATGGTCGAGTCTACGGTATGGCTACCCTCCAAATCAATCAGTCCGCACCAGACGCCGAAGGCCCCTTTGCTGAACTTCCGTCAACTCATTGCAGAAAAGCCCACTACCACTAGTACCGGGGTACCAGGCGGCCTTCCGATTATCATGGATTTTCCGCGGTTCGAACAGGCGGTGTCCAACATCATGAAAACCCTTTACGATAGCCAGACTGAGAATGAACCCGCGCACTCGCGCGACATCCGAGTCACATAGATTTTAGTACAGAACAAAGGGTGGGACCACATCATTATTTTCCACTGCGTTATACGAAGACGATGGCAGGAAAAAAATCACTACTTCCTCGATAGTGTTGATTGAATCCATAGTGGCGGCGTGCTCCTTCATCGCAGATTTTGATTTGAATGATGTGGGAAAGAGATCGTACCAACACACCACAGCTGCATCAAGTCGGGTCTGTCCTATCTTCCTGCGAGAGCTTTTCAGAAGCTTTCGACAAGCACGTAAACAGCTACGCCAGAATGGCTTACGTCCTACACCTATACCCCGGCGAAGGCTCAAACCAGGGCGCTGCAGAGCACCCTGAGATTGTGACGGGCCTGCTCCAAGTTTGGCCGCTGCTGAGGAGCACATAGCAAGCCCATCAAACAAGGGGATATTGATTAGGCCATTTTCACGCCACAGTCCTCTGTGCTGGGGGCTTCCTGTCCAGCATCCTTGCCGATGGATAGTAGTAGTTCTCGATCAAGCTGGATAGAGGGACCGTGACAGAAGAGCACGATGGAGCACGTATGGCACGGCTAGCACATATCCCCATCGACAAGCTAATCTTGACTATCTGAACGAATGGGGGGCCCCGCGTATCTTCATCCCCCCAGATCTCAAGGAAGAGATCAACGATATCTCTCATCAATCAGTGAGGTCCCTTCTTTACTTCGAATGACCTGGCAGACTCAGATGATCTCAGGCTTTCCCAGCCGCGGCCACCCCATTTGCGCTTGGGACAGCCGATATTCTTGTGCCCCGGGCCCCATCGTTTCCATCCTTCGGTGTCCCAATCAACGTGGAACTTGTACAGACACAAATGCAAAGTGCACCATGCATGGTCTCTTCCGGTCACTCCCGAATTCCAGCTGGAATATCTCGCCGCTGAAAAGCATCTGTATTGCCTCTATAGTACTTCTATCGTGAGATCAGGCCACGGTGCGCCCCCATGTTGAGAAGCTCCAATCAGACACAGTGGTCGATCTCTGCATTGCCTTCAGCCATCCCGGTGACTCAGATGGGAGGCCCGGACCGTATACTGCGCATAAGAGCTCATAAGAACTACCAATGTGCCTCAGAGTTTTTTTTCTCATACTATGCTTGAACTCCTTATTCACTGACTGGGCTTTTCTTTTATTCGGCTTGGGACTTTGTACACCCGAATGTTAGGCTTTACCTATAATTTATTTGACCGCATTTGACATCCTGCGTCATTACCACGTTGCAAAGTTCCCACTCATACATAATCAGAAGCCTGCAATATTCACTGTGTCGTGTCATCCTTCTGCGTCATTTTCTTTCAGCTCTGCATTTCCTTCGAACCGGCACACTCACTCGGATCCAGTTGACTCCGTCAATACCCGACAGGCTTCGAATCACACTCGTACACTTCGTCGGATCGTTGCATGCAAATTTCCAGCGCCCAATTTACCTTCCGCACTCAGCGTCCTGTACTCTAGAGGTCGTTGTAACCAACCTGGCCGGTCTGAACACTGGTCCTCACGACCTACTCTCCCGCACGTGTGATACAATTTTCTTCACATTAGTCTACTCTAGACTTTAGGGATCCACCTATCCAAATCTTTTTAATGTTTCAACAATGAGCGTCCCGTCATGTCTTGAGGCTGATCGAGGCCCTGAAGATGCGTCGCGTGAGTAATCACCCAACAAGGGCAGATGCAAGCGGTTCTTCCACGTACCAGAATATCTAGAATTGTGGGGGCCACGTCACAAAGGGCGCCTTTCTCGCTCTCACCTTCCTCCCCTCCCTTTCCAGCTTCTTCGTCGCCGATGAATTTGAACGGTTGACCTTGAAAGCTATTAGGTGCTTTCACGATCAAAGGAACTGGATTCGTGGTGTGTGCAGTGTGAGGGGCGCCAGTCTCAAGATTTATCATCTGCTCCGCATTCCCATGGTCAGCGGTGATAATCAGCACATAGTCGTTCTCAGCCGCTGCTTTCGCTATCGTTCCAACTGCAGCATCCGTGGCTGTGATGGCTTGAACAGCAGCATTGTACACTCCGGTATGCCCGACCTGGGATTGAACGAGCAGGTCAGTTTCCTTGAAGAGGAGAGGAGAATCTGATTAACCATGTCAGGTGGCGCGAAGTTGCACATCACAAAGGGATATTCGTTGGTGTTCAATACTTCCGCAACCTTTCCCGCGACTTCCAGAACACTCATTTCTGGCTTCTTGTCATAAGTCGGAACCTGATCCGAGTAGCAATTCGTTCAGCTCCTTTGGATGAACGAGAGGGCACGAATTGTTCCAACCTTGGGAGAAGGAATCATGATTCTGTCTTCCCTCTCGAATTGTTTCTCCACTCCACCATTGAAGAAGAAAGTGACATGAGCATATTTCTCGGTTTCTAGTGGTGTACTGAGTATTAGCTCCAGCGGCACTCAAGGAAATTTCAAATACACGGACCGGCGATGTGGCATTGCTTAAGGCCTTTTACTGAGAGCCATTCTGCTAATACATTGCCCATTGTTTGCGGTGGAAACGCAATTGGGAACGTGTATTCCACGTTATACCGAGTCATGGTAGTAATGTACTGTATGGATGCGCCACAGTCATAGTTAGTGCATTGCGTAGCCAGGGAACAATTTGAACGACGTACCAGGTTCTTCGGAACGTAAACGTCCATCGGCTTGGGATCCACACCGAAAACTGCAGTGATTTCTCGCATGCGATCCGATCGATAGTTGAAGAAGAATAAGGTGTCATTGTCTATCGATGTTTCAAGTGGTGAGCCGTCAAAATGTTGCATCACGAGTAGCAGCACGTACCCTGAATCCTGCCTTCGTCCCCACCGACCAAAATCGGCTTAAGGAACTCGTCGGTAATGTCCTTCTTATAGTTTTCCTCGATCTTTGCGACGGCATCATCTCCATTAGAAGCGATTAAAATATCGTCTGATTTCCCTAATTTCCCGGTAAGACCATCCACTCCAACCTTTATCCGTTCCCAACGCTTATCGCGATCCATAGCATAGTACCGTCCAATGACGGTTGCAACTTTTCCGAATTCTGTGTGCCCAATCACTCATCCATCAACTACCTTGGACAACAGGGGTATGAGAGCTTACTTTCTTTCTCTATGAAGTCATTAAGCTGCTTTAGATAGATCGTCGCACTCCGTGGAGCAGTATCACGACCATCGCCGAAGAAATGAACGTAAACTTCCGGCACCTCTAGCTTCTTAGCTGTCTCTAACAGTGCTAATAGATGATTGATGTGTGAGTGAACGCCACCATCCGAAATCTGTCAGAGTTGTGTCATTTCCAAGAAGAATACGTCAGGGGCTATGATAATGGTCAATCGGGTAACATACCAGGCCCAATAAATGTAGTCTCCCGTTCGTCTCCTTCGCCCTCTTGAAACTGTTGACAATATTCTCCGTTTTTTCGAATTTCTTCCTTCGAATAGATTCGTCTATACGGACGATATCCTGCCAGACCACCCGTCCAGCTCCAATATTTAGATGGCTATATAGCATAATTGGTTCAGCTAATGCTCCACCCGAACCCGGAGCGGAATAGCATGCCAAGCCTTACCCTACTTCCGAGTTTCCCATCAGGCCGTCGTTGAGTCCGACACTCAAACCGTGGGCCTCGATAAGCCGGTGATCACCTTCCTGACCGAGTCGGTCCATGTTCTCCGTTGTACCTTCGTTGACAGCATTCCCCTTCGTTTCAGGAGAGTAGCCCCAGCCATCGTGGACGCTAGGAGACGGTATATGCCACCAGTGACAAGCGTGAGGACCCATTCCGAGATTGTGGGGTGTAATCACAATTAGTCGGGGTAGGTGAGCGACGATAAGGAAGATAAGCACTCCAATAGGGTCAAAAAAATCTGGTACTAACATCAAGCAGACTTTGTTCTTGACAGACGCCATGACAAGGCAGAGATCGGAGAGCAGGCAGATCGAAGGTCGCAGCACGAGATCGTGGGAATCGTGTAAGACTCGGTGACTTTACATTTCAATAGTCGTCGTCGCTTCGTGAACGCTGCGCAGTGCGCGTCCACGGAGCGACGACGACTGGGTATGAGTCTAGAGATAATTATCATCCTTTCGAAGATGCTTCCTCATCCTGCCCAAATGCAGCCTCGTCACCACTGCGATACTTATACTATGGGTGTATTGTAGGCAGGGAATGGACGTCTGGATGGACACGTACTAATAATCAAATGACTCGCCGGTAGCGGAGTTGTCCTTCAGACACCTGGAACTTTTGATTTGAGGCGGTTTCAGGACTCACTGTGAATGTTCGTGTTGGGAGAGGAGTTACTACTCCCGAGGCAGCTTGGGCTATGAGGTCGATTAATTGGTGTCAGAGTTGTTGTGCTGATGATCGATCGCATTCCTTCCCTCGGTCAGTCTCGGTTGCTCGTTGTTACGATGTGAGAAGTGCTGAAACATGCTACGTAGATTGAATCGTCTTCTATTCAGTGTAACTTCAAGTCCAGTCGGAACCCACCCGTGGCTCCTGATGGTGTCTGGTATGCAATGCAATGAACTTCCGGAGTGAGTGCATGGGTGACCGTCACTGTGCTCGATTATGGTCGGCGTTGGAGTCGATGTTCCAAGCCCCGAGGCCTGCACGGCAGTGTGTGGTCCGTAAACCCGCCTTCGCCTAGCCAATGAAGTGTATAAGGCCGATGGAGTACTGCGATGAGTCTGACACCGGATGGTCTTCAACGTGCCACTGATGTTGACTTTGGGCATTGGGAACATTTGCTCATATCGTGTTTCGTGGAGGATTTGGCGGTGGGTGTCACAAGGCTTTAAGTCTTTAGGATTGAATCACTGCCCCACAATGCTGTGTGGCTAGGGACAACCCCAATCCAAATGACGTGACCGGAACCATGAGTAGTTCCGATTGACTGAAGAAGCCTTTGACACCGTCCGGGAGTGGTTCTTCGGAGTCAACGAACCCGAGGTGAAGTTGCGGAACACGCTAACTGCTAAGCCGCCTAAAATCCAAATGCAATCGGCGACTCCACGCTGTGGGGGAAAGGTAAAGATGTGGACATGTAGGCACGCGATGCATATTCATATCCTGTAGAACTCCATGGTAGGCCTGTGGACCCATTGGACATGCGAAGGAAGACGGTGAAGTGGCCACGCTGGCCGCTTCACTGCGTTGAATCTGCTTTTTGATGGGTTAGCCATCCGGTTGAACTACCTCAGAGGCAGAAAATGTGACGGTGATATTTTCTGGAACACCACCTCCTCCCCATTTTCTTGGATTGGTGTTCGCTTCCCCCTGTTCCCGAGCTACCTTCACCCAGTTCCCAAGCTTATGGACCTCCCAACCTCCCGTTGACCAAGTGGGTAGTATGGAAGTTTTAGTGTTATTTTGATCTCCTCTCCCTCCTTTCCGGATTGGTGCATCCTTCCTTCCTTCTAGTTTCCCCGGCGTATGAACTTCCCGTGGGCTGGATGGGTGGTGTATATGTCTTAGTAGTGTCTTGACCCCCCCTCTTGGATTTGTGCGCGCTTCTCCTTGATTCCCCCATATGTGGACTTCGCGTAAGCTGGGCTGGTGTGGAAGTGCCATCTCGATCCCCCATCCCATTTTTCTTGGTTTGGAAGTTCCTGTGCTTTTTGATCTCCTCACTCGGCTTTCTTAGGTTGAAGTGTCCATCCTCTGGATATTCGTGCACGTGGGCGGTATGGGAAGCCATTGGCTGCTTCCTGCGTCCCGTGCCGGCGGTAAATCATTGACGGTTCTCTCCGCTGTATGTTTCTCTTTCATCTTGTGCTAGTGGACTTTCCCCAAGCTGGGCGGATAGAGTGGAAATTCCAGTACTCTCAGTACTTCCCCAAGTTAGCCCTCTCGGAGTGGTGCCTACTTTCTGGCTATTGTGCATGGCGTCCGGCGGGGCCCAGCAGGAGAACTTTCGTATTTGGATTGAATGGATGACTTAATGATCAAGTCCTTCAATTCCATCCGCGACCAATCTTATGGTCCCAATTTTCCGTCCGCGGTCTCGGTTTACTAGGCCCTCGCTGTTAGTGGACACCAAGGCCACTTGGACATGCTAGCACCATTCCTTAGTCAGCCAAGTCTCTATACATGGTCATGGAACCCGTTAATTCTTTCATGGTTGAAGTCCGGAGGCACGTAAATCACAACCATGATAAAATACAAGATTTAGAAGGTGGGTTCAACCGTTCAATGCAGACGTTTCCTTTGCTCTACATAAGAATTGGCATAGAAGCTTCTCCGCTGACTGTTTCTGAGGCTAACTCTTTACACACATACACGTCTCCCACAGATTCTACGCAGAGGTCATGAGCAACTGGCACCGGGTCTAGGTGAGCGTATGTGTTTAACCGAACTACTCACTTAGTACACGGGGCAGGGGGGAAAATGCTAACATTCGAAAGAAACAGGCTGGGGGTTGTGGCTACTATCCTGATGATGATGATGATAGCGATGGAATGTTGGGGCAGTACATGAGGACATATGGTTCTTCTGAGCGTTGAGGATGACGGCTCTCACGGGACATTATTTTTCCGGACTGTGGACCCGAAGAAAGCATATCAGCTGCAATGTCGGCACAATTACGTAAATTTCTGACGCCGAAATTACGTAGTTTACTTTCCTTTTTCGTTCGTCTTACGTGTTATTCCCTTCTTCTGGTTACATGTTCCTTGCTTACGTTGCCACTTTCGTCATCGTTCTTGGTCAATCACGAGAAGGACCATCTCCCACCCGAACTTCTTCTTTCTTGTTTTTCATCTGTTGCAAATGCCCAAGCGTTAACTAGTCCTTGAAATGCATACCGTTCATAAATCCCAGCACTTTAGAGGTTGGTGAGCACTCTAGTATTTGATTAGTTTCCGAGGCCGGAACGGGGCTCATGCAGCGGATCGAGCATGCATTGTGTGTTTGCTTAAGATTGCGCAAGCGCATGATGTGAAAGGTATGCACTACCGACACGTCGAGGCATATATGACGTGGAAACAGTGAAGCTGAACGTTGGTTCATCGAAGGGCTCATTACCCACATCTCCCAGGGTAATGTGTGGAATGCAAGCTGCAACAATTGCGCCGTGGAACCGACATGGGATGTCGGTCTGGGCGACAGCTGGGGTCATGTTCTTAACTGCTCTTTCTGCTAGCAAATCGTGGCATGAACTACTTTTCGACTATATCCATAGACCCTCTCCGGCATCTTATCCACTGGCAAGTACGATTCGGAGGCAGAGTGCTGGAAACTTTGAGGGCTTAGTCATTTCCGGCCGCGAGAACGACGCCACAGCAATATGGTATCTCATTGCAAGAAAGGACCCGGTTCCCGTTTCTTCCGATCCGCCAGAGCAACCCGCCGATGGATCGTAGGACCTGGCGCTGGGTATTCCCCAGCTTCACAAGATACTCTATCCTCCGAGCTACCCTTTACATGAGGCACGGGATCGAGGGAGACGCCCCAGCTGACTGGGCCCATTTCGGGTACCGTGCGGTTTTGGATAACGCCAAGGAGAGCAGAGATGACATTCTACCGGAGGGGGTGAACTGGATGAAGACACGCTTGCAAGCATGCACCGTAGGTTCACAGCAAGGCGACATTTCGACTGTTGATCCTGGTAGGGCTAGGTTGTTGGACGGTTCTGTTGACTAGTAATCAGCACCCTCCAGTTTAAATATTCGCGGGCAGGAAAATTAGTAGCTGTAAACTGTTAGCGCATTGTTCCAATCGTTATCTTGGCTCGGGCCGCATTTAGCAAGATGGATATAATGCTTGAATAGTCAGATAAACAGTGAAACGACAACGCTCAAATACGGCATCGGACCCGTCACGTAACTAGGAACCAAACGCGCCCGACAGGAGCAGCCGGTGAGCCCGATGGCATGGGTAGGGTTCATTTTGGAACAGGGCACGTAAAGTCGGCGGTAGCATTGGTGTTCATTATCAGGGCAACGATCAACCCTGCAAAAATTACCAAGAAAAAAAAATTAGGATCGCACGTTAGCAGGAGAATCAGTCAACTAACCGTATAACCCCAACACCTTCATTAAAGAGTGAATGTAAGTCAGCCTTTGATAGTTCAGCACTCAGCACTCCACTACACGACCACGTACCTCAGCGAAAATTAGAATCAAAATCTTAAATAGCGTGAGGGGCCACTTGTGCAATGGTGCAACAACCAGACTTACCATTCCAACAAACAACCGTGGCTGTTGCGCAGTCCCTCGAACACCAGCGTCCCCAACGATACCAATAGCAAACCCAGCAGCGAGACCAGCAAGACCGACGCTAAGCCCTGCACCCAGTTGCAGAAAACCCACGAAGAGTGGCATTGTGGCTTTCACTAACGAGAAGGGGTAAAGCAACGTGTTCAAAGGAACCGAGGGTATCAGGACTTACGGTTTCCAGCAATAAGGACTGACACAACTAGACCGTATATCTAAACATCGCGAAACCAGAGCGTTGAGCCAATTTGGAATGATAGTCTGCTGAAAATTCACGGCTCACAGCAATGATACCAGCCATGACGACTGGAATAGAGCACTTCATCATAAGGTCCGGGCGCAATACAGCCATGGAGGAGATACCAACGCCAGACTTAGCCGTCCCATAACTACAAACCGCGTAGTAAAGTTAGGAGGATGAGTGAGATCCTTAATACTGGCTCTGGCCGCAGTTTCTGACCTGGCTCCTATGCCTGGATGTTTGGTCTATGAATGAGTCCATAGAGCCTCAAAGGGAACTTGGGTGGGCAAAACGCACATGTGAAGACGATGGCACCAGTACATCCCTGTCCGTGTCCGCGGTCACGCAGCACAGTTCAGCTCGTGCTTTGAGAGTCGGGCCAAGGGCTCACCATAGCGCCAAAAAATGGTGCGTATACTGGGCAGTAATCAGCAACAGACATCTTGGGTTTCTTTCCCTGTCCTTGATGAGTTGTGTGGAGAATTAGTGTGGAGAACGAGAGTAAGCGAGAGTTTGTTGGTTGATGCGGCAATCCCCTTGCTTCAGGCAGGTGGGCGGTCACATGACTCAGCTGCCATATGTTGAAGAGCTTTCGTTGGTGGGGTTAGTGCTCCGTCGAGGAAGGCCTTTACTGTGTACCGCTGCTGACGCGCTGAACCCTGTCGAACGCTCTAATACCCTGTTACATTGGAGTCTTCGGTCACTATCCTATACTGATAGTGACCGCCTCTCGACAGAAGACCTTCACCCTACGAAACCTAGGTCACATGTACGACCTTATGATCCCCTGCGCTAGTAGTAACGCACTCCTACGCTTGCGAACACCCCAAATGATCGCAACTTTGGGTTGGGCTCCGTTTTGTGAAGTAGGATACAAATGCTCATACATGACAGCACCGATTTTCATTATAATATGGTTTGTTTCGATGAGAATATTGCAAATGAGCCTTCTGTGGCTTTCCTGTGATTGTCTCGTGCCTTCTGGCCGAGCAGATAGCGCCAACTGAGCCATTCCCTGCTACGAACATTGCTGAGACAATTCTCTAATCCTTCTGGCATGCGATGGCCCGCTTCCTATTCTGACTGGCTTACTGACGTAGCATTGCGGGTCTTTGGACCTTGGGCAGCTAAGGACCTAGAGCAGTGTCCTCTCAGTCTCTTTTGCTCGACTATTGTGCCACAGGCGCGTAGTGTTGATCATAGCTGACAAATAATGCCCTCTTTGTATGGTAGCTAGCCCGCCATGAGTTGCCCGATATGAGCTCGGCGCTGCACTGACTACACCCGAATTGTATCGAGAGACGAACAAGAACTATAGCGTCATCAGAGCGTCATTAGAGCGATGAGAGTGCTCTTAAGTATGTAAAGCAGTGCCAACACAATCATGCTTTATGGGAAAGGGCTTGTATTCTGATTGTGTGTCGCATTCGCGGCCACAATCACATTCGCGTTCAACAGCCACAATCTCATTCCCATTTGCAACCCCAGTGCAATGAAATTTCAAACTTCGATTTCATTCATGTGCTTCTCCTTTTGCTTCTGCTATGTACTTTGTGCCTTTTCTACACGCTAGGTACACGTTTCTAGCTTTCCATCTCTGCTTTTTATCCCTAACTGCACAGTTCTCTCCAGTTAGAAACTATAAAGTTCAGCCCTTGCCAATGTTGAGCACCGAACATTACCCCTTTGCCATAACCCTCTTGGCGTCGAGCTGACCTTTCAACATGGAGAGGAACCCAGTTTCCATCCCTCCTGGCGTCAACCCTCGAGACTTAGAGAGGCCAAAGGGGAAATTGTCATTCATTGCGTATCTTGAGGAACACTCCGACATCATGGGTAAGGAATGCCCGACTCCGGAGCACCACCAACCCGCAGACCCGCTTCGGCAAAACATAATTCACGCATGTATCAACCTTCGCGACAAGGACGTTTTGGGCTACGCAGAGGCGTTCTACCACCAACAACGTCTTCAGGGGGATAGTGCTTTCTCGATCAAGGCAGCGGATGTACTGCGATGGCTGATTTTTGGGGTTATGACTATTTTCATCCCTTTGGACATATTCGTCTTACTTCGCTGGACCTTGCCCCGAATTCTAAACGTGTGTTCAAGCCCCATTCTTTCCGTACTAAACCTTAGTCTACCATGAAACAGAGAATTTCTCGAAATCCTCAAGAACGGGAGAGCCTTTTCCCCCCATATGAATGGTCTCTCAAAGCTAGTCTATGGATAATTTTTGTTCGGCATGCCAAGTCGACAACTCACAGACTCTCGACTCAACACTCACACGTAGGATGCTCCCGCAAGCACGCTGTAATTTCACTAACCATGACCCAACCAAGATATCTGATATCAAACTGGGAAAAGAGTTGGTAGAGGCTCGAACAAAGCGATTGGAAATTTTGGAAGCACTAGTGAGTTGCCCGCATGCCCTCGGTTGGCTGTGCTTCTTACGTAGATCCATTATCCCCCCTTTCTTCAACTAGTATCAAGACTGGAGGGAGGAAGAAGCTGAAGCCCTGACAAGGCTGCGAAAGTTGAAAACTGCTGCAAGCCCCGAACATGTATGTACTGGCGACGCCCGGATTAATCCCTTGACTAAACGTCTGAATATCAGCGAGCAAAAATCGACGAATGGAGGCGAGAAGCCGCAAGCACCTGGGGGTGTATTGTTTCTGAATGCAAAAATTTGAGAGAACAGGCAATTCTTCTGCAACAAATGTCAAGACAGCGCGAATCTAACATCATCTTCAGATCAAAACTCTAAAAACAGAGATTGAGGAGATTCGTGAGATTGCTGGAACGCAAACTAATGCACAGATAACTGGATACAGAGGTGAAGTCAAACATCCTAGCCACATCCCACTTGACTGATGGAACACATTGCAGGAGTCGCTGATTGGGCAAAGGTAATACTCGTTGGGAATCTATTTTGAGCATTGCTTAATAAGGATGGAAAGGATACCCTCGGTGCCCATAGCGGCATCATCAAGGCAGTATCTGTTGTGTCTGTGTTGGGCGCCGGTGCAAGTTATACCTCCATTCTCAGGTAAGAGTTCGAATGACTCATCTTGGTAATGCTAATTCTCACTATGTTGTTTCAGTGCCACCCGCGGAGATATCTCGTACATGATCTGCTCCTTTGAAATGTTTATGATTTGTCTCATCATCGCTGCTGCGGCTCAAGGAATACTCACTTTGTGTAGTCGCCGGGTGAACGACTCGATTCCGAACCTGCGGTTCTGGGGGTTTTTCGTAGTTGTTGTCGTGTATGGGGCTGGAATATTTATGGTAGCAGGCATCTGCTTTCTGGTAGCTACCGTCCTGTACTTGGACTCCGACCCCGGAAATCCACCAGTGATCACCTTTTCACCGATGTCTTCACTTTATACCACGTTTGCGGTATGGAGTTCAGCCCAATCCCAGTATCAATGTGCAACTGACGCCTCTTTAGCTCTACGCCTTCCTTTGTATAATCAACATTCTCTATTGGGGTGTTTATTCTTCTGCGCATCGTCGTAAAGACTTGATTTGGAGACGACCGGAGAGACCCGCGGCGAACGCGAAAAGGCTGGAGGATTTTGCCTGATGGTATCTTGGATGGTATAGTACTCCTATGCTTTTATTCACATCATTTGCAAATCATTTGTCCTGCACTATTCAAAATGTGGTTTTGCTTCGTATCATCTGGTTAAACTCATAGAGGTTGGAGTCCTGCCTGTCATTGGGTGTGCGCTGCAAGCGTGAGCATGTGCCATTACATAATTGAGGTGATTCAAATATGAGATTGAACAACGTGACCCTGGAGAAACGCAACTGGCATTCCAGTCCACCAACGAAAGCAGGTACAGTGCATGACCAAGATGTCGGGGAAAGAATTTGCCAGGAAGGTTGTGCTGGACGGTGAGCTACGCTGGACACCAATGTAGGGGTGTATTCGGGAATGACCTGTTCGTAGCTATAATGGTCGCGTCAGCACAGATGGCGCTGTACTACGCATGGAAAGTACGTTCATCACCGGTGCCCGGACTTGGTTGGTGTACCATTGACACTACCTTCTTGAAGTGGTGGATGTCTGAAGATACAGGACCCAGTAAATCTAAGCGCAATAAAGTAACCGGGATCTTAGAACGCCTGGGGAAGAAGGGTATGAAACTATCGGAGCATGAAGGCGAGCTGGAATAAATGGCAATCAACTCATCCAATTTCTCATCCCTGCCCTAGAAATCATTGCGGCCGAAATTGTTCATCCCGATGAAATCAATGTTAATTTTTCAGGTAAACGTCCAAGACCATACAGACCAGCTCATGACGATTATTTACTGTTAGTATCTCTATAGACATTGGGGGTCTAGATTCCATCATATCATCTCTACGGGAGTCCGTAATATACCCCCTGCTGTATCCCTCCCTATTTACACCCGATGCCGAAACACCTGGGGATGCCACCAAATCCTCATTATTCATTGCCCCTAAAGGTGTACTCCTTCATGGACCACCAGGTAATATTGGTGCCCTCTTCTCTTGACCTCAAGTTAATCCTGGAAAATAGGGTGCGGGAAAACCCTGCTTGCTCGAGCATTAGCCAAGGAGTCCAATGCAACGTTCATCAACGTCCCCCTCTCCGTGCTGACGAATAAGTGGTACGGCGAGTCAAATAAACTCGTCGCTGCTCTGTTCGATTTGGCACGAAAGTTACAGCCATCCATCATTTTCATCGATGAGATTGACTGCTTCCTGAGGGAGAGGAGGTCTGGGGACCACGAAGTTACTGGGATGATGAAGGCAGAGTGGGTGATAGTATTCTCGCGTTATTTCCATTATTGTTAAACAGGTTATGACATTTAGGTTTATGACGTGAGTTCTCCGTTTGTACATCGAGCTGAGGCCGGCATAGTTAATATCCGAATGTTGGACCAGCATGTGGGATGGTCTATTGACACAGTCAGATCGTATTCTGGTTCTCGGTGCAACTAACAGGCCTATGGACATCGACGCTGCCATCCTCCGCCGAATGCCCAAACGCTTCGCCGTGGGCCTGCCCGACACAGAACAACGGAAACGGATTTTGAAGTTGGTGTGCATCGAGTTATTCCACGCTCTGTGCCAAGCAACTGAGCAGACTTTCTTTCAGATGCTTCCTTCCTCGTTTCCAGATGTTGATATTGGTGTCCTTGCTGCGCAGACATTAGGATTGTCTGGATCCGACTTGAAGGAGATGTGCCGAGATGCCGCCATGGAGCCTCTGCGCGAGTTCATGCGAGAACGTGGGGGTAGTCATGAGGAAGTTGCCAAAGGGGTTCAGGAAGTACGTGCCTCCCTTCAGCTACAGAAGATCTTTAGTACTGATGTCTAGTCTAAGGGCGCCAAGATACGGCCACTGGCTCTTAAGGATTTTTTCGCTGATTCCGAGAAAAGCACTTCCATGTTGGCCTTGCGTGCGAAACGCGCGGCTCATGTGACAATAACAGATAAGAAGCTGAGCGAGATCATCGATGGGTTGGATTAGTCTTCTTAATTTCGACGGCCTGCATTATATTGTAGAGACATTCGTTTGTCACCCTTCATATTAGTTACCTTAGCAGCACTAATTCTCCCGTAATAGTACATGTGGAAGTCTATTTCTCGATTGATGGTAAGCATAGATACGCACTGTAGCGCCAAGTGCCCAGGGTCGAAAATGGCGAATAGAAATCATGGACAATTCTTGACCAAGATCCTCGCATTATTCACGAACACTCTCACCAGCTCGTCAAATTGTTCCCCTCCACGCACGCGTCTGTCTCTCAAAGCAGCATGTCTCATCAAATCCTTTGTGTCCCTGAACTCAAGTTCGAGTTCGTGAATCTGCTGTCCTTGGGGTGGATCATTCCGCAGTCCTGGATTATTTGTTGTGACCTGCGTGAGGTCGACTTGAAATGCTTGATGGGTGTAGGTTATACGATCTTTACGGCGGAAGAAGAGTGGCTCGCCCATTGGTTTCGCAACTGATAGATCAAAGAAGATCAACTGAAAAATCCAGGACAACCAGAATGGAACCGACCAGGTATTTCTGTGTTCACGCTGATACGCCAATCCACCTTCCATTTTGGAGAGTAGATATTCAAATCAGCCACTCGCGACTTTATAATACATTCCTTCACTGCCCCAGTCTTTTCATCGGTTGTGACGCGTATTTTTGAAGACGGATGTGAGGATTTATAGAATGAATCAATGACCTTGGTGTGCGAGTAGTGGATCCGTGCATGGCGATATGAGGGCCGACCGGTTTGCTCAACAAGGCTATTCAGGAGACTGTTGAAGTGGGAGTGATGTGACTTTCGAAGGGAACTGAGACAAGCGAAAAGTAAAGACAGTGGATTGAATGCGTACGAGGGGCATGTTTGATTCAAAGCGAAGACCAGGGTAGTGCGGCTGGAGTACTGGTGATGAAGATCCCCCATGAGAATTCGCCAAAAAAAGCTAGACTATAGGCGCACTAGTTTCTGTGAGCACAGGAAGCTGGAGACGAGACGAGTTTCCAGGTCGGTCTTCAATGAGGAGAACTCCAAGCTTGGCTTCAATCTATCCCTCACACGAGCCATTAGGGCAATGATCAACCACTTGATAGTAACATAAGCTCACCTCGACATTCTGCTTCCCTCTACAATGGAACGCCATCCAGTGGGCGATTTCTCGAATAAACTCGTCAAGGGGTTCCGCATTGATGATGGAAGGCTCAAGAGGCAGATTAATAGAGCTCCCGATAGATGTAGAGGATGGCGGAACTACTGCAGCAGCAGGTTGCGGAGATTTGCTTGGTGAGTAAGTCGGTTCGTGATCACTGGATGACAGGGGATGCGACTCAGTACTTCGGTGCTGAGGCCCCTTCACGAAATCATCTTCTTCCTCCGAGTCGCTCCCGTTCCCTTTCTTGGGGGAATTCGAATCATCGTCCTTCTCATTATCCGAATAATTGTCGTGATAAGTGGCCTCGGGGAAGGGGTGAGCGTTTGACATGGCTGTGATGATCGGTAACCTGCGTATGAAGATCGAACACTTATTCCAGCCACGTGCTAGGTCCCCAAACTTGTCGGAAAACATGGAATTTCGTTTTAACGCGTTAAGAGCTCTCAACGCGTTTCAACGCCTTATTGATCCGTTCCAACGCTTTATTAATCTGTTCCAACACTTTGTTAGTCCCTTCCAACGTTCGATGCAAAAATCAAATTGTAAATACTCAGCCACGCTGTAAACATCCCTGTTCACAAACGCATGGACGCGCTTCCCCTTCACTGCCAACCACGGCTGCAGCAACTGTACACTCACATTTCCATACCCTGTCCTTCCAAGCCACATGGAAGCCCCCCATACTCAGGCAAACACACGTTCCATGATCCATTGCCACATATTACCTTCACTTGCTTCACCTCAATGACGTCTACCTACTTGACGGTCAAGCCACTCTCACAGCAAACGACCACTTCAGCAAGTGACAAATCCCCAACAACCCCACTGTTCTCTTCCTGTGTCATTTTAACCAGTGGGGTTCCATATGGGAGGCCGGGCGCTGAGTCGTAACATGTCATTCAGGGACAGCATGGACAACGATTCCGACCGCACACAGAGTGCACCGCCCATCAACTGTCAGTGTCCAGCATAGGAATCTTCCTTTATCGCTCCATGTTCCACCACCCTTAACGTCCACTGCACATTCTTATTTAAACCGCTTCGTTCACTGAGTTCTGATTTGTGTTTGCGCTTCATGCATGTTCTCCTCAATACCACTGCTGAAATGAACAACAATCATGTTCAACTTCGTTCGAATTCTAACTCCACATAGCACCACCATTGAGAGCCAGACCTTACATGGTCCAATCCCACAGCGGGTGTACACATATTGAGAATACTAAGTAACTTAGCCCATGTGCACTCGAAAGGCCTATGATTGATACAACTTTATGTTAACACAGCAGTACAAAGCCGAGAGTGCATGGTAGTGTAGCGGTTATAAATGTACTGACAACAGTGTTCCTCGGTTCAATTCCCACCAGTAATTTGGGAGAGTGTTGGTATGACTAGCCCAATATGGGCATAGCGCTGGGCGGCTACACTTGCATCCATGGCAGGGGACAAAAGATGAGACCCAAAGTTGGTCTACTGCCCCATTATGACCGTTGGTTCAGTCACATGTCACAATGAGACTTTGAACAGATGAATGTATCAACAATTAATTCCCATGGTATCCGGGAGTTGCTGGAAACAGCAAATTAATTCAGTTCAATATTTTCACGTGATGTGCGGCACATGTCACACTGAGGGATGAACTATGCAAGAAGAAGCCGGCAATCCCCAAATCCCGTGGGAATGAACCTACGGTCGTAATGGGACAGTATATATGAAGAATAGTGGTCATCAACTCCACTATTATTATTTGTCTAAGCTAGGACAAAGTGTGCACAGGAGGCAGTGTTAGAATACATGATGTGGGATGCTGTGCATCTGCGCTGCATGTGAGACATGGTACCGGAGCAGCATCATGACTTGGACTCCGACAAGGACATTGGTAAACAAGGAAAGCTAACGCACCCCTGGGTTGGATAATGTATAATGACAGTGGCTACAGCTTCAAGGGGAAAGGATGCTTGTGATGGCATTGGCTTGTACAACAACCTGGCAGAAACTGAGAAAGACAATCTTGACATTGAGAACGTGATGGCCAATTAATAATTCCACCACAGACACCCAGGTAGAAGGCCTTGTTAGGTGGCCAAATAGAACTTTCGGTTTCCGGCCTGACAGGCCCAATACCTATGAAATGTTCTAAAGTGTGTTGGACTTTTCGTTTTGCATTGATTTCAACATGTAGAACGTTCACTGCGAACACTTAGAACATTCTATAACTGTGTAGAACGTTCAGCAACACCATAGAACGTTTTATACTGGGGCCTAACGTCCACACATTCGTGGAGACCGTCCTCCACATTGTCAGCGCCGCCTCATCACACTATCATTGGGTATTTTATTGCATGGAAATGTGTATGTACATTATGGAAAGCGTAGCAAGCAATATATGACTGGTGCATGCGCAACCGTGAAAGTGTGTATCAGATGCTTGGGTAACCTAAAGGTCAGTGCGACAGCAACTGACGGAATTGATCTTCAGGGGTAAGGAATGTCAAAAAATCAAAATCCAGCGCATAAGAAAGCATAAACAGAGTCTGGCAAAAACGAACATGAATCAAGAACCTCGTGAGGGATCATAAGTTTCCACAGAGGGATCAAGACTTAGGACTGGGGCACCCAAGAGACCAGGCACAGGTGATATTGCGAAAGCATTGTATCCATTGTGTCCGAACGAAGGCCAACTATTATCGAAACCTGGATCATGGCTAACAAAGGGAATTGCTCCAGGAAGGAAGAATGGATGAGCCCCAGTTGCTGCCAAGTTCCCTTGCGATGTTGGACCAGGAAGCGGCTTCCCCACCGCTTGGCAATGGTACAGACCTACTGGCACAGTGCCTTGTGGCTGCCAGTCGATGTCAGTGGAGATGAGGCTGGAGGGATTTGTCAAGGCATTGTGTGCCGCAAGCCTGGGCCGTTTCTTGGATGATCCAAGCTCTTTTCCAGCAGGGCGGGGATGGGTGCAGGCACGGGAATTAGGAGGCAGGATGAAACTTGTAGAAACAACCATGGAAGGGGTGCCACTTCTCTCCCCACGGTGATCATCACTATCGTTGTTGCTTGCATCCTCTCCACTGCCTAAAGATGACCCAAGCTTGGCTTCTTTGAAAGAAACCAGAATGCAGCCGGTAGTACTGATGACAATCCCATCATCCTCACTGTACATGCTACGGTTGAAAGCTTGAAGGGTTGGCCTGGCATCAATGTTTCCATCAAAGAACGCGTTCCAGATGACCCACCACTGTGCTGTGTCAACGCTGCTGACAGCCCTATCCCAAAACAATGATTTCCAGTCCTGGTTATCAGGCCAGTTGACGAGAGCAACACTGGCCGCCTGAAATTTGAAAGGGAGTTTCTTCCAGTCGATACGCTTGCAGTTCTCGGCATAGAGGGACCTTTGCTTCATCATTTGCATGAGGCAGTCCGAGCACATAGACCAATAATCTTGCTTCTTTGTTGGTTCAGGCAGCTGGTGCCTCTTCCCATCAGGAACATTTGGATGGTCATGGCCCATCAGAGTGTGAACACTCATCGCAATTTGATTGAGGGCCACCTTAAAGTCAGGCAGGGCCCGTCCAAGGTAGGCGTTCAACACTCGAGTGCCACAGTAGATTTGGTCTAGCTCATGTGGCGCAGGTTCACTGCTGCCAGAAACAAGGATGACGGCACAATGCAGACCAACTGCCGTGGCCACATTGACCTCCTCAGTGAGTCGCTTGGTCCAAACCCTCATCATTCATTTTTGGAATTTCCCAGAGCTGCTACCCACTCCCTCTGCAAACTTGAGCTTCTTTTCCTGGTGTCAGGGCACACACCCTGACTAGCCCGGACCCGGACCCGCATCCGGACCCGCTTCCACCTGCCGCACTTCCCACATGCGTGCACGCTCCGTGCGCCGCATGCTCCGGGCCTGGTTCCTACCCCTTCATGTGACTTCCGGGTATCCCCGGAAGTTTTGCTGATATTGTGGCCACTGTGGGAAGATGAGAAGCTAGCTTCCTTCTCATCTCCTTACCCACAGTAGTTGTGCCCTGGACAGGGCTGGTTACACCACAGGCTGTGGACCATAGGGGAGGGTCATGGGGACCCGGGAGTCGTCCCCTGACACCTGGTGTCGAAATATGAGGTTACAGGTGCATTTCGTCCATTCCGGCGAATCTTCACCACCCTGACTGGCAATAAGGGCTTTGTAGGCGGGTCTGACCGTCATCTTCGTATATTCAGAAGCAAAGATATTCTTGGGATCTGGGTTCAGGTGCTCCTCAAGGAAGGAAGCCTGGAAAGCATTCCACACGTTCCCACTGTTTCGATGATGCTTTTGCAAAAAGATGAGGTTGACAAGGGCAAGGATGGAATCAAACGTCCGATTTTTAGACTTCACAAACGTGTCAATCTCCCTCATGAAATGTTGGGTAATTTCCTTGAGCTCCACCTTCTCCGAACCGCTGAGTCGACCACCCTTGAGCTTTGCGCTGAAATCATCGTCTACACCGATACTCCCTAAATCCGCTTCATCTTCCTCATCCACGGGATATAGATGTTTATCGGCGACATTCAGATCACTGACAAGATTGAGTACCGCAGGTGAATCGTCAGCATGTGCTGGACTAGGGGGGGAGATATGCCAGTGGAACTGGGATTAGACACTGAAGTGGAAGTGTCATTGCTGGGAGGTGGAGGGTTATGAAAGTCAAGCTCTACAGCACCAGAGGGTGAAATGCCACTAATGCCGTTGTGACTGGAAGGAAGCGGAATGATGCTGCCAATGCTGTGTGCTGCCGCAGTAGGTGGCTGCAACACACCGCTATCGTTGCGTGTGGCTGCCACAATGTGGGAAGATGGCTGCACTCCACTGGAAGCAGGTATCAGGATTGACATGGTTTGTGTGGAGGTATTCAGGGATCCTGCTGTTGAAGCACCGGAAGAAGGCTGAACTTGATTGTCAGCGGAAGAGTATGCACTGTTGCCACCAGCAGGAAGGACGGCAGGGGGCTGAGTGGCTGAGGTCTGATTGGCATTGTTGGGATCTTTGCCTGTGATAACATCACGCCCTGCAGTATCCGCTGTAGCAGTATGAGGACTGGGGGTCTTTTTCTTTTTGGTCCCCTTTCTGACACCGGTGGCTTTCTTTTTGGTCCTCTTTTTGACACCGGTGGCTTTGGTAGTGGCAGAAGACGCACTCGTTTCATCTCTGGATGGAGAGGGAACCAGCGGGGCAGGGTTGGGAACTGAAGCTTGGCTCCTTCGCAGTATGAGTTTGAGGCTGGGCTTTGATGATGACATTGGCACACAGGGCAGTGACCAAAAAATCGATGTGGATGAGATCGCTGGCAGTA